TTACTTTTTTTCTTTCTCTGACGTTGTTGTTGTTTTCCAGTTCCTTTTGAATCTGCTCTCTTCTCTGCATCTGTATAATGCTGAAAGCATCAGTGGAAGCAGGGAAGGTCTTTTAATTCCAAGTCTTTCTTCATCTACTTGTGTGCCTTTATCCAGTTTCAGCTTAATTAGAGGTCTGGAAACATACATTTTTCTTAACAGAGAGGATCTTTTAATTCCAAGCCCTCCTTCATCTACCTGTGTGCCTTTATCCAATTTCAGCTTAATTCGAGGTCTGGAAACAAGTATTTTTCTTTGCAAAGAGGATCTTTTCATTCCAGGCCCTTCTTCATCTACTTGTGTACCTTGATCCGATTTCAGCTCAGTAGGAGGTATGGAAACATACATTTTTCTTAGCATCATACTGGGCGGGTTACCTTGACCTTCCTGTTTCTTTGGCTCTATCCCTCTGATGTTCAGATGCAATTCTGTCCTATGGAGCACATATGAAGGAGGTATTCTCTTGGACTTCAAAGTTATCTCTGTGGTGTGTGTTGGACCCCTTGTATCTACCGTTCTTTCCCTGACCCTCTCTTCTTTCTCAGGCATAGGTTGTTCCTCGTTTTGAACGTCTTTCGCGATATCACCACTAATTGACTGTGTACGCACTATTTCCCCTGCATTTGATATTCTCGGCAAAACAGACCTTTCAAGTGCTAGCATTTCATCATCTACTTGTACTTCTTTATCCAAGCTGAGGGCAGGGAGAGATGGTAACCAAGTAGAAGATGTGGTGGGAACCATACCCGGTTCAGCTTTAGTTTCTTGCATCTCCTTTTCTTGATGTTTGGGGAACACGAGGTTTCCTCTTTCTGCTCCATCCTCTCCCTTGTTCTGGGACATATGTTGTTCTTCCTTTCGTGGACTGACCGCAGTATCACTAGCAATTGGCTCTACATGTACCACTTCCTCGGAACCTGGTGACTTCTGGAAGTTTACTGGGGGAAAAGAGGATCTTGGTAATATCGGCACGCTCTCTTCCTTGATGCTGGTATTTTCATGAGGGTGAAGGTGGGCAGGCCTAGAAATACAAGTCTCAGGCAGCGTTAGGTCACCTGGCTCCCGTTTAGCTCCCTGAACCTCTCCCTCTTGCTCTTTAGTTTTCCACTGAAGCTCACTTGGATTGCATGTAAGCAAAACAAGCGATTCCTTTGCTTTCAAACCCGTATTATTGGGGTCCACGATAATATTCATATGCACACTTTCCTGTCTGTCCTCCTCCTCTTTCTGTAGCATGTGCTCTCTTATCTCTCTTACATCTTTTGCAAGTTCTCCATCAGTTGTTTCAGCATATTCTATTTTCATTGTGTGTGCTGATTCCTTGGACTGTGATTGTGGGAGAGGCAGTTTTGTAATTCTTATCACATACCCCTCTCCTTCCACTGCATCGGATTTAAGACATGGTAGAGTAAGTAAAGAAGTACAAATGTTCTTCAGGTTTGTAACTAGTTCAGTGTCGTTTCTCTGTACCCTTCGCCCTTGCTCTTTAATTTTCCACCACGGTTTTTTGGTGTCAAGTAGATGTGAAAGCGGTGGCTCCTCTGCCTTCTGATCCAGAGAGAGAGAGACTGGGAGCACTCTGTCTTCAGTATCTGTTTTGAGTCTGTCTTCCTCTTTCAACATAAGTGACCTCGTATCTGCTTTTTGGCTTGGAATGAATGGATCATAAATCTTCAGTGGTGGAAAACAGGACTGTGTTATTCCTTCTGCGCCTTCCTCCTGGTTTGTGCTGGGGCCCCGCTGCAGGTCAGATAGAGAAGGTAAGGAAGCCCGCGTTTCCCTCAGAACCACCTCCTCCCCTCGCTCCTTGACATCCGGAGGCAGCCTGTCTCCACTGAGTAGATGGGTAAGTGCGGACGAGTGGGCTTCTAAAGTTGTTACTTGGGGGGATCGTCTGTCTCTCCCGCCTTTTGTTGTGACTCTGTCCTTTGCCTCTTTACATGGCGCGTGTCTGTTAGCTTTTATTATGACATTACATGAGCTGATACCCTGACTGGGATCTGCGTATCTGACTCCCCCTGCACCTGATGACTCAGGGAGCTGTAACTGGGAAGGAGCGGATCCTGCGTCTACTTTGGTTCCTGCATCCAGTCTATGGTGAGATGGATAAGGCGAGGAAGGAGGAGCTTTTGCTGGAGCCACGTGCGGGTCCCCGCTTCTTCCCTGCTCCTGTTCCACTCTCTTCTTAGTGCTCGACTGTGGTTCCTTTCTCCTACTCCGGGCACCGGGCTCAGCAACACCGAATACGTGAGGAGGCGATGCTGTCCCTGCCTTGACGTCTGTGCCGTTGGGGCGCGTGGTCAGGGCTGCTGCTGGCACTCCGGCCTTTTCTTTCGGTGGTGGATGCAGTCTTCCTCCTTTTCTCTGGCTGTCAGCTGACTTTGTAGGTGCCGTCTGCACTGAAGACAATGAGTCTTGGAGCTCGAGAGGTGACACGTAATTCCTTATTATTCCTGGTTCACCTTTCTCTTCTTTTATTGTGTCAAACTTCAGATGAGCTGAAGAAGTGACAAAAGGACAAATTTTGCTCAGAAGCACAACTGTGTGCTTGCTACCGTCCTGCCCCCTTCTCACTTGCTCTTTAATGTTGACTTGCAGTTTCTTCGCTCTGAGTACATGGAAAAGGGGTGATTTATTTGCCTTCAAAGCTAAGCCTTTGGGATGCATTAGGTCTCTCTCAAAAATATTTGCTTCATTCTCTTCTCTCTGTGCCGTGTATTTTGTTCTCTTTGAATCTCTTGAGATACCATTTACAGGTGACATCGTATATTTTAACCTCTTTGTGTCTGATGATTCCTTGGGCCATGAGGATGGAAGGCAGGGTCTCACTACTCCTTGGCTCCCTTCCTTGCCTTCTGCAACTCTGTTTAATTTAAATTGAGGTAAACAAGGTCCTGCCAGAACGTCATCTCGTTCACTTGTTCTGTCCTGTACGTGTCCCAGGTTTCCCCTTATGTTTGTCTGCATGTCTCTAATTTGGGGGCCACACCCCCCGGGGGAACTGGGAAAATGTGGAAGTGGTAGTAATATCTTTGCCTTGGGAGTGCTGCCTTTGCGGTATATTTTATATTTCATGTTTGCTATTTCCCCTCCGTCCTCCCCTCTCTGGGGCTTGTACTCTTGTACCGTTTTCACATCATCTGAGACATCATCTCCAGTTGAAGGAGCAGGTAGGGATGTACAGGTCAAAACCACACCTGGTCCACCTTTAATTCTCTGTGTATTTTTCTTTTGCTCTTTGATGTCCAACTGGATTTCCTGTGAAATTGGTGATTTATTTTTCTTCAAAGGTACGACTTTCGCCATTTTTACTCTCTCTTCTTCTTCCGTATCACCACAGGTAGACTCTTTATATGCTATTTTCCCTGTATCTGATGAGTCCTGGAGCTCTGGTTGTGGAAAGGGGGATCTTGTTTTTCTTAGCACGACTGCTTCTTGTTTCCCTCCTGTGTCCACCTCAGAGTAAGGTGGAGAAGACACAGAGAGGCGCGGTCTTCTCTGAATCCCAACTTGTTCACCCGAATCTTCCTGCATCTTTTCCTCTTTTTCTTTGATGTTCAAGGGCAACTCCTGTGCAGTCGGAGACTGATTCGCCTTCAAAGCTATTCTTTTGTGAAGCCTTATTTCTTCTTTCATTTCCACTTTATCTTCGGTTTTCTGTGGCAAATATTTTGCTCTTTTTATGCTGCTTAAAATGTCACCCATTGGCTCCTCACATGTTATCATTGCATCTGATAATTCCTGGAGGGTCAGTGATGGAAAGCAGAGCCCTGTTACTCCTCGCATGTGTGCCTCTTCTTTTAATCCAGGACCCCATTCTAGGCGGGATGAAGAAGGAATGGAAACATGGGGCTTGTTCAGAACTACATCTAGACCACTTGTATCTCCCTGCATCATTTCCTCTTGTTCTTTGTTGTTCCACTGTGGTTCTTGTCCACGCGGTGTAAGCTTAAAAAGCTTTTTCTTTCTTCTAAAAGTGGCACATTTGCGGTGCACCATATCCTTCATATACACAGTATCTTCTCCACCTTCCTTCTTTTTCTGTGGCAAATGTTGTTTTGATTCTATTATATCATTTAAACTATCCCTACTAATTGACTCTGGAAATGATGTTTTTCTGATATTTGAGGATGCCTGGAACTTCAGTGGCGGAAGGCAGCTCCTTGGTATTCCTGACTTACCTTTTCCTACTTTTATTCTTGAATTCAAATTAGGATGTGACAGAGATGGTAAGGAAATCAGCACGTCTGTCAGTTTCACACCTGACTTACCTTTACCTGTTTGCACCTTGCTCTCTACTTTTACAGTGTTCAGCGGCACTGGCCATTCCTCTCCCTCGTGTGTGTGTGACAGTGATGATTTCTTTGCCTTCAAAATAACGTTGGGATCCATTATCCGTTTCATATTGACTCTTTTTATTCTATCCTTCTTTTTCTGAGATATATGGTGTTTTATTCCCTTTACGACATTTGAGATAATCTCATCAATTATCTTTTTATTCAATTTGAAGTAAGGTGAAAAAGGGATGAACTCATACGTATTTGTCACAACCAAATCAGGTCTGACCTTTTTATGTTTCATATTTACCATCTTCTCTTTTAGTTCCCACTGCAGTTCTGGTCTGTTGCCTGGGGTTCTGTAGTTCGCAGTATTAAACGTATCTGAAGAGACTGATTTCTTAAACATCAAAGTTCTTTCGGGGCATATTACGCCTTTCTTAAGTCCTTGTTTTATGTCACTCTTCTGTCTTTCACTCTCAGGCAAAAGAGGCAAATGGACAGAAAGAGAATGTAAAAACAATCCAGGTAGGCACACCTCTTTTTGTACCTTTTTTTGATATGCTTTGCATAATTGTGCCTTCTCTCTTCGCTTGGAGCTACCATGTGATACTGAATCAATTACCTGTGCCCCGTCTGATGCTTTCTTTCCTTTTGGAAATGAGACATCCTGATATTTTATATTTTCACTGAATGATTCTGAAGGCAGCATTGTATTTTGTCTTTTTGTTTGCCTTGGAGGAATCAAGGGCACAGCCCATTCCAGGCCATACTCACTTCCAGGGTTCAGATGAGCTTTAGAAATCAAGTCTGATCCTTTTGTCCTGCTCGACGTGTTGCCTGCTTCTGATAATGCTTCCTTGGCCGGAGGCACTAACTGCGGCAGGAACCAGGGATCATTCTGAGGGTAGGACCTATGCTCCAGAAAATTCTGAGAGGGAACCAACAGGTGCTGCTGTGTTTGTTCCGCACTGGGTAAGTGTTGTCTCTTTTCACTTGTTTGAGTATATCCAACAGTAACATCCATTCCTTTTAATGCTCCCTTAGCCTGCGGAGTTGAATGTTCACAGTGCATCATATTGGTGTCATCCAGTTTTACTCGCTGCACTGAGGTACTAATGTGCAGTCGACCTGCTGGCGAGTGAGACGCAGGCTTTAGAAGAGCCTCGTTCGTACGTTTTTGTTGCTGTAATCCCTTTCCTGTAATTAGCAAACCAGCTCCTTCTGCACTTGGGGTGCCATGCATAGTGCTAGCTACTTCTTCCGAAGCTTGCTTTTTACATGGCATCTTACTTTGAAATACATCTCTCAAAGAGGGAGAAGCAAGATTTGGGCAAATATGTTGTATATATTCTGGTTGCTTTTCTTCTTTTCCTGAAAAAAGCAAGCCAATTCCTTCTGTATCTGAAGCGTGGTACTTTGCACTCTCTGCCTCCTTTAATGCTTTCTTTACCCTTGGCAATTTAACCTGGAGTCTATCCACCAAAGAATGAGAAGCAGATGGTGGTAGAGCCTTGCATGTACTTTCTTGTCGATGCTCTTTTCTTCCTCCGGTATGCAAATCAGTTCCTGCCGAGCCTGGAGTTGGAGCCACTGGAAAATATGTTTTGTTTGATGCTTTCTCTACCATTGGGCTCAAAACTGTTGAACTCATTCCTTTGGCTGAGATTTCTTTCTTTAGCTTTTCAGTGTGGAGTTGATGCAATATGCAAGAAGACATGGATTCCAGAATATTTTCTTTACTTTGTTTAGAACTATTTTGTTGCTCTGCCTTCTGTGTTTTGGAAAAGTTGATTTTCTGTCCGTTTGATTCTAATAGAATATCAGTTCCCTCTGATTTCTCTTTTCTCCATGGATTTACAGTCAAATCTACAGGGATGCTAACATGCTCTTTCCCTGTTGCATTGGCTGCCTCTTTTACCTGAAGAGGTTCCCCACTGGGGCAAGATACAGAATCCAGGATGCTTGCAGAAATGCAGTCTGGTTTCATCTCTCCTTTCTGCACTGCAGACATATTTTGCTGGACCTCTCCATGTGTACAAAGAAATTTATATCGTTTTGAACCTTGTAAGATAGCAGTTTCTTTTACTCCTTCTCTTCCAAATAGATGTGAAGCATGTCTTCTGTCAAGGTACGCATCTTCCTCAGCGACCTTTCCTGTGTTTTCTGAATGAGGAGTTTCCACAGTGGGGTAGGCGACAGGTTCCAGATGTGTCACTGAAATACTTCCTCGTTCCCGCCGTTCTTGCTCCTTGTGTGTCTTCTGTGGAGAAGCAGCCAACTCCGTCAGAAACAAAACATGTCCTTTTGGACTTAAGGAGATGTCCATTTTCCCTGATACCTCTCTCCCCTGTGGAGCTGAAGCTGAACGTCGGACCACATCTGCGTCACCTTCCTTTACTCTCCGTTCAGTGAGGAGTTCATGCTTTGTATGTGGTCTAATTCTTGAGATGTCAGACGCAGTGCGACTGAGTTCCCTCTTTTGTGAAGGGAGATCGCGGTAAACGTCTCTTTTCAAATTGACTGTGAACTTGACACAGTCGGGCTCCTTCTTCACCTGCTGGCTAATCACCAGCTGGTACCTACGTTGTGGGGGAAGGTCTAGTAAAGCAGCTCGGTAGTTCTCCCCTTGCTCTCTAATGTACTGTTTCAGGGTTTTGATATTTCTTGACGTAGCACTCTTAACAAGGGACTGTGTTTGTCTTCTGTTTGGTGATTTCTCCAGCTTCAGCTGCGGAGGAATGTGTATCAATTTTTGTGGCCTGCCTTTCTCCCTTCTTACTTCCATAAACTCTTTCATTTGAGATGGAATAGATCCAGAGTCACAGAGAGTATTGAGAACTAACTCTGCCTCGGCTCTGCCTTGCTGGAACCTCTTCTTCTGTTTCTCGATGTTAAATCTCATCTCCTTTTTCTCCAACTCTGCCTTTTCCTCTGTGATATGACCATTCAGATTTCTGTGAGGTGTTCTGTTGTTAAACAGATTATCCCTTACTGTTGTATTGAATGAGAGCTTATCGATCACTAGCTTGGATGGTGAAATGTTAGCTTCCTCCGTGGCATGAAATAATGTCTGTCTCACGCTCCTGTTCCATTGCCTCTCGTTTGTCTTGTGCTTAAATCTGTGCCTTTTCTTTCTATGGTTTCCTGTAAGACACCTTGCGGTATTCAGCAACTGTGAAACGAGTAGTCTCTTTGCCTCCAAAGTTACATGCTTGGGACTCGCTGTACTTTTCTTTTCTACAAACTCTAATGCGTAACTCTGGCTTTGGGGTTCAGGCGAATAAAGGCTGGAGAAATCTAAAGGCTTTAAGATGGTTCTTACTAAGTCACTTTGATTCCATGTCTTTTTCTGAGAAATAGGACTATCCCATTTCTTCCTAGGATTTCCATTCCAGAGACCACATTGTATGGAGCCAGTCTCTGATTTCCTAGCTTCTGGAAATGGAGTCTTTAGACCTACCATGTATTTTATTCTCTCTTGAGCATGAAGACTTTTCTTCAGTGTTTGTACTTGAATAAAATTCATGACATTCCTAGAAACAGGCTCCAAAATAGATTCTCTAACATGTTTTTCTTGCCTCATATTTTGCACTGCGCAAGACGAACTCCAAGTGCTTCTGCCTTCTGAACTATTCAGTTTAGATTCTGATTTGCAGGAGCCAAGATTTTTCAGATGGTAGGAAGTGAAATGGAAGTGTTGGCTCCAGTGTGGAACTGAGTCTGCTAACACTTCTGGGATGTCTTTCTCTGCCTTTGCACGCTGCACAGTCATCTTCACTGCGTTGCTGGACTGGTTTTGTGTATCAGTCAGATTGGCCTCCCATGCCTCTCGGTCACACGGTGATTTCTCTGGCTCTGGAGGGGTGCGGGTGTGTATTTGAACTCTTGGTTGATCTGCCTCTGGTTTTGGTGTGCCATCCATTTCAATATCTAGTTTGTTATATGTTGAAACCGGTGTGGGAGATGAAAATGCATCAGCTGTACTTTGATGTTGTTGCATGTTGTTTATCACAGATTTTAAATTGCATTCCTGTTCGTTTCTACTGTATAGATTACCGTGCTCAGTGGTATTAAGCACCTGTGAACAAAGAGGTTTCGTTGCCTTCACGGTTACACATTTGGGACCCAAAAGATCTTTCCTTTCCAGATATTTTAATGCCCTTTTATGCCTTTTAGACTCAGCTAAGACAGACAGCATGGATATTATTAGCGAATCTCTTTGCAACTCTTTGTGTTTCTTGGCAACACGACCACCTGCTTTCCTTTTGGCGCTTTTATCACATGGATCTCCAAGCACTGACATTCCTGACTTGGGAGGTGGGATATTTTGATCGGCTGTGTATTTTATTCCTTTTTGAGTTTTTATGTCTCCCTCTTCTCCTTCACACGGTAGGGAAACTGCACTGGAAACATCTGGCTTCTTTGTGGGGCTCCCAGCAGATGGACTACAATACTCTGCCTCCCCAGTGAAAAGACCATCAAATCTTGCTCGCCTGCTTTTCCGACATGCTGTCTTCTCACTCAGTCTATGGAGTATGTCTTTTTGTGGTGGGACAGTCTTTGTCAGCTTCTCAGTTGGAAATGGAATTATCAGAGGAGAACAGAGAGACTCCAATATATTTTCTGAAGCCAGTATTTTTTGCTGCCCATCTTGCTCTGTGATAAGCATAATTTGATCTTTTCTACTTCCTGTCCTATTCAGGGGTCGAAGACCTGCTTCGAATAAAACTTCGTTGCCCTCTTTTTCTTTTTCCTGCTGCCATCTTGATTCTGGTGTGTCGCTTGAGGTGCTCCGTTTATTAGAGGAATATTTACACAGTCTTTTCCCTTCCTCTTGCTTTAGCTGTAAAAACGTGCTTTTTTCCCTAAATGGGCCTTTCTCTGCTTTCAGTTTTTCATGTGTTTTGATGGCAGGTGAAACAGGTGTAAGTGAAAACAAGGCATTCATAAATATATTTGACATACTTTGAGGTATTTCTTTGGCCACATCATCCAAGGTGTGGACCTGTTCCTTTCCACGGCTCAGGGCACCAGACCTAGTGATGTTAATTGTCTTTAAAACCGGTGCCATCTGTGCTTTCTCAGTCCCAGACTCAGGGATTTGTGCTGCGTTTCTCCACCCTTTGATTTTAGATGAAGCTGGCCGGGAGCAACCAAAAGACTGTAGGCTTCTCACTTGTGAACCCGTCTGTAACCTCATCTTTCCCTCTGGCACAGAACTAGCAAGTTCCTTCCGAGGGCCTCTTCCAGATGGAAAGCCACTCTGTGCTATAACAATTAAAGATTCACTGATTGATTTCTCTGTCACTGGGGATGAAATCTTTAAACTCCCTGTATCTTTTAAGCCTCTCTGGGTTTTTGTTCTTTTTGGTAGCTTCTGAAATGGCAGTAAATTCAAAACAGAGCAGGAAACAGAATGCGACACATTTTGCATGAAACGCGCATGTTGCTGCAGCTCCTGAGCTATGGTAAGTGACTCTGGGGTTATTTTCCTTGCTGAATTCTTCCGTTCTAGGTCTGATTTCACAAAGTGAGGCTCCTCCTTTTTATGAGCATGAACAGTGAAGTGTTGAGAATTCCGTGGGGCTGCTTCTCCGCCGTAGTCTTTGACTTCCTCCCCGACCTTTGCAGCCCAGACCCTCTTCTCCCTGGAATGGGCCCCCCAGGCTCCCTCTCCGCCTGGTGACTGCCCTCGCTCTTGCAGCTCATGACTGAATTTCCTCTTCCATGGCCTCCCCGTCTCTATTTTTATTCTATTATGCTCTTCCACGTCAAGTGAAACAGGCATGGAGGAGGAAATGGCATTGAGGATGACATCTGCCACAGACTGACCCTGTCTTGTCATGGTTTTGAAGTTGCATTCCCATTGCCTCCTGTGGCTTGGGGCACCACCTTTGCTGGAGTTAAAGGTCTGGGAAATTGGTGCCTTCTTTGCCTTCAAAGTGACACATTTGGGACTCATTTTATTTCTCTTGCCTGTAAGTTTTACGTTGTTTTGCTTTCTTTTCGACACAGCTGAAACAAGTGTGGATATATCCAAAAACTCCAGAGTTGTTGCTGGTAATTCTTGGGCTAGTCCTTCCTTTTCCTCTGCGGTGAGGTTTTCCAGGATCCCAGAGTATTTTATGTGAATTAAAAGGTCAATAATCTGTGATTTCAGAGTTGTTGGATGTAGGATTTTTAGACCACCATTCCGCGGGATATTAAATACCTGTGAAATTGGTGCCTTCCTTGCCTTCATAGTAACACATCTGGGATGCATTTTACTTTTTAAGGCTCTACGTGGAAACGTCTTTCTCTGCCTCTTAGATTCAGGTGCAATGGGTGTGGAGATATCCAAAGACTCCAGGACAGCTGCTTGCAAAGCTTTGTGGGACTCTGCCTTCTCCTCTTTAACCTGGTTGCGCAGGTCCCTGCCGTGGCTCCCGTCACTTGGGAGACCACATTTCACCGTATCAGTTAAAACTTGACCAACGAGTGGTTCCTTTGACTTGAGAAGAGGAAGGTTTGAGTCCACTGTACTCAGGGCGCCACTTTGCGTCTGGTGACTTCTCTTTGGCTCCTCTACCTGCGCCGGATCTGTAGGTGGCATTTGCGGTGCGAGGTCTTGTTCTGTAACAAACAGAATTTTCCCACTTCCCTTATTTTCTGGTTTGTGAAGGTTAAGCTCCTTCCTCTGGCCTGAGCAGAATACGAAATGTTGGCTGTGCTGTGGAAGTACTTTTAGGAACATCTCTTGTTCACTTTCTTCTTCCTCTTCATCGTGAAAATTGGTTTCTTCGGTGTCATCTAGAGTCAGAGTCCCTTCTTGTGGTGCTGTCTCTTGCTTTACTTGTTTGGAAAAGAGTCTTTTCTCTCCTAACATGTCTTTTTCTCTTTCTCTCTTGCGATACCTGTTAACGTCAGGTATAATGGTCATGAGGGAGTACATGTCACCTGCCGTTTTTTTACCTTGATCCACCTCCTTCATTTTGGTTGTCAAGTTACGTCCCAGTGCTTTTCTATGGTTTGGGCTCGCCCTACCCTTGATATTGAACATGTATGAAATGGATGGTTTCTTTGCTTTAAAAATTTCACATTTGGGATTCACTAGGGTTTTCACACGTGAAGACTGTTTGAAGTTTCTCTTGCTTTTGGATACAGGTATAGCAGCCACCCAGAAATCTAAAGCTGCTGTCTGTTTCTTTTCAATTCCACCTGCTTGTTCCTTTTGATGGTTTGCATCAGATGGGACACCACATTCCCTTGCAGAGAACATTCTTTCATCAGTCTTTGCTTCTCCTGACTTGGGAGGTGAAACCCTGGTAGAACTTCCTAGCTTTCCAAATTGAAATTGACCCAACGTAGGGCCTGAAGTAGAACTCAAAATAGTCTGTGCAAAGCGCATTTGTGGTGGTCCCTGAACACTTACACTTCCTGGTTGTTTCAGCTCCTCATCCGACTTGACAAGGTCACGGTCCCTCTCCTGATATATATTGAATACGAAGCCTTGGCTATTCCCTGGGGCTGGGAAATCTTTGTGTTCCCCTGCTTCCTCCTTCCCATCTTTCACACTATTAGATAAACTACTCACATCGACAGAATCTGGGCAACATACTTCTCTTCCATTTGGGGATTTCTCTTGTGTTAGCTGTATATGACTAAGTCTTGTTACCCTTTGCATATCTGTCTCCATATTTAATCTGATACTCTTTTTGGTGTTGGGCAAAATAGGCACCTTGAAGTAAATGAAATCCAAAAATGCACCTGCTATATTTTTATTTTGCTGTGGATTTTTCATCTTTGTTTTAAGACTGTATTGCAGTTCCTTGTTCTGCCTGCTGTTAAGCATATGCAAAATTGATGGCTTTTCTTCCCTCATAGTTCTATATCTACGACTCACTGTTTTTGGCTTCCTTGCTAATTTTAATGTGTTCTTTCTATTAGATTTAGAAACAAAGTGTTCAACAGAATCAGAAGACTGCAGGAATGTCACTTGCAAATTTTCTGGTAACTCTGAATTTTTTTCCACAAAATAAGAATCTAGTTCCCTTTTAGGGTTTCCACCAGATGGCAAGTCACACTCTGTTGTAGTGTTCAAAGGTTTGTCAACTGATGACTTTCCTGTCTCGGGAGGCAGAATCGCCGGACCCGTAGGGAATGTTATGTCATCTTCTGGTTTGTTGGTCTTCTGGGGTCCCTTGGTTTCTCTAGAACTCATCTGGAGGTCAGTCTGCAAAGCAGTTCGTGTAAAGCATGTTTGATGCTGCATATCTTGCTCATTAATGGGCAGCTTCTGGGTTAAACAGTCCAGTGCTGGGTCTGGTTCGGCAAGATGGGTCTTCTTCCCCTGATGTGCGTGGATCCAGAGGTGCTGGGTATGCTGTGGAGCTGTTATTAGCAAACATTTTTGCTCTTCTTCCTCTCCATCTTCCACTTTTTCTCCTCTGTCATGGAAGGTATGACTCTTAAGAAAGAAATCAACATACTGTGGTCTCCCTTCATGTGCCAGTTCCTGGAAGTTCACCTGAGCATGACAGAAGCTGTTTGTTTCTCCTTGTAACCCGCTACGCACAGGAGAGTAAAGGGTATTTAGAAATTCATATACCAGTCCATTAGCTTGGTTGATCTTTTCAAACTTGGCCTTAAAGTCAGATTCTAGCTTCCTTCTATGACTTGTGATACTACATATTTTTGAAATTGAGGGCTTCAGTGCCTTCATACGTACAGACTTGGGCTTCACTGTACATTCTATATGTGAGAATCTTACTCCATTTTTCTTCACTTTAGAATGAGACAAAGCAGGCATGTGGCAATTAAAAGTCTCTGGGGAAACTGCTGGCAAATCTTTGGGCAATGCTGACCTTGTTCCTGCAAAAAAGTAACCCCTTTCTCTTGTATCATTGCCATCATCTGGGACATCACTTCCTCCTGTCTGGTTTAAAGGGTCTCCCGTTGGTGAGTTTTCTGATGCTGGAGGAGGCGTCTCAGAATCTGCAGTGTATCTTAAATCAGTTTGTGTTGGTAGGCTTTTCTCCACATTCTCAGCATGAAATGGATCTGTTATGGTGGAATAAATAGGCTCCATCATGATTTCTGCAAAGGTGACTGGTTGATGCATTTCCTTCTTTGTTTTAAGCTCTTTCTCTGGATAAGCATCCAGTCTGAGGCCCCAGCTATCCTGAAGGACTGCTTCCGGTGACACTTCTTTATCCCTTCTCACTTCATCTTGCAAGTTAGCATCTTCCTTTGTGTTTCCAGAGTCTTTTCCTTTATTAATGGTATCTGAACATGTTTCTTCTCTTTCAACTTCTGATTTCTCTTGTTTTAGCTGGGTATGACTGAGATTCTCTGCATTTAATCTGCTGTACGTTCTCATATGAGGCAAAATAGACGCGTGAAGGTAAATGGCGCTCAGAAGCTTATCTGCCACAGTTTTATCTTGCAGTATTTGTTTAATTATGATTTTAAAATCACCTCTCGGTCTTCTTGGATGACGTATTGGTGGCTTCTTTACTTGTATAATTACACGTTTGGGACTGAGTGCACCTTTCATCCCTGATAATTTTTTTCTGATTTTCTGCCTTTTAAAATATGATGAAGGCAGCACATGCATATTATAAGATGCCAGGGCAACTTCAGATAAAACTCTTCTGAAGTCTTCTTTTTCTTCTGCCATCTGATGACCTGGTGTCTTTCTGGGGCTTCCACCAAATGGGACGCCACATTCTGTGGTTTCAGTTAAAACTTCGCCAGCTGGTGAGCTCTCTGATGCAGTAAGAGGACATACTGGATCAGCAGTCTCCCTGCCGGGAGGTCTGTCTGTGCTCTGCTTCACCTTCTCAGCTTGAAGTGGGTCCATGGTGGGGCATGGACTAGTCCCCAAAATCATTTCTGGGGAAAGAGTTTGTGACTGTGCCTCTCGCTCTTTATTTTGAGTTGTTCTGCTTTCTGAACTGCTCTGTCCTGCTTCAAATTTGACATCCTTGGCCTTCCGCTCTAGTTGTAGGCTGAACCTGAAACCTTCTGGCAGCTGTGGAACTGCTTCTTGTAAAGCCTGTTGCTCTTCCTCTCTATCATGGTCTTGTGGCTTTTTAAACACACGTCTCACAACAATGAATTTTGCATTCCACAGTTTCTTGTCATCTGGTAATTTGTCTTGCTTTACCACTGAAGGACTAAGTCTCATTCTTGATGTATCTGTCTTGGTTTTGAATCTGCTTTGCATTTCCATGGGCAGTGGTTCAGAGATGGTGGTGTGAGTAGTGTTGTGAAACACATCAGATATTCTTTGATCTTGCATATTTTTTGTGTTGCTTCCAGGGGTGCATTCCAGGTCCTCACTTTCACGCAGGTCACCATCTTCTGTAACTCTAAGTATTAATGGTTTCTTTTCCTTCTCAGTTACGTCTTCTATACTCTTTTGAATTTTTGCACCTGCTAATTGTTCACTGCTTTTATGCTTTCTGGTTCCTAGTGAAATGAGCAAGTTGACATCTGAAGACTCCAGAACAATTTCAAGAAAATCTTTTTGTCTTTGTGCATTTCCCTTTGGAGAGCTCCTTTGCATTTCTGAGGTACTAGCTGGTAACTTCTCTTCACTTGAAAGTGGAAATTGTGCATTCTCTGCACTTTTTAGGTCCTCCCATGTTTTTGTTTTTCTGTCCAATTCCATTTTGGGAGCGAAAACAAATTTCTGCAAAGGTTCTGATATAGCTTCTTCTAAAGGTGTCTCATGCTTTGCAATATTTGGGTCAGATGTTTTTTCACTGCCTGGGACACAAAACTCTGCAATATCCATTTCCTTTGCTTGTATAATTGGGTCTTTAAGAGACCCTTTATTCCTCCAGTTTGTTTCTATTAATGATGCTTTTTGTTGATAAGTATCGTCCCTGAAAGACTGTTCTAGCTGAGGTGGAATTTTGGGTGAAATGCTTTTTAGTCCAGTATTGTTTCTGCCATGCTGCTGCCCATTTTTAGGGCTGCTTGAGGTTTCTCTTTTCTCAAGAGACCCTGTGTTGTTGACCTTCTCTGCATATCCTGACTTATTTTGCTTCAGCAGAAAATGTCCACACCCTGTTAAACCTGGCATGAACTTCACTAGTTTTTTCCTGGAATACTTCCTAATATAAGGAAGAACAAGCTTGAAAACATAAATAAGATGCAAGGCTGTACCTGCTTTACCTTTTCTGTGATGAAATTCTTTCTTCTGAGTGTCATGCTTGTGTCTTAACTTGCAACGTTCTGGAGTGTGACCTACTGTGATTTGAAGTACCCGTGACCGTGGTGTTTTCTTTGACCTTTGAGGTGGAACTTTGAGACTAAATTTACTTTTACTGTGTAATATTTTTCTTCTGTTTTTCTGCCTGTTCGTGGTAGGTGAAAGAGGCACTGAGCCGTATGCAGGACACTGGTTTACTTTTGAGGAAGCAGTTTGTTTCTGGCCCTTCGTCTTTGCCCTCTTTAGTTGTGTTAACCCTTTAGCAACTGAATCTGGGCTTAGAGTTAAAACTAGAAATCTGGCATTCTTAAAAATAGCATTTTGCCCTTGGATTGCATATTCATTCTTATTTGGATCTTCAAACCAGATAGGATATTGGGCCTCATCTAAGGGTTTTTTATCAGACTCTAGGCCCTTGATTGAATCTTGAGTCTCAACAGGATACGGGACTTTGACCAAATGTTGGCTCCTGTCCGTATCTTGGGCCTGGAAGGAGTCTTGTGTGCTGCTGGAAGGTGGTTTCCTCATCAAATCTTGAGGCAGAGCAAAGTATTTGGCCTCGATCTCCGGCTGGCTGCTCACAGATTCCTGGTTGTTAACAAATTGTCGGGCTTGACTAGTAAATTGGGCTTCAAAAAAACCTTGATCCTGAACAGCCTTTTGTCCTGGAAAAGAATCTTGTGTTTGGGCAGAAATGTCCACTCTAACAGACTGCTGATTCTGAATCAAGGGCTCTTGAGATCTTGGGTACACACAGGTAGATTTACTGTCTAATGTAGCTCTGGATTTTAAAGGAATTTGGTTTCTCACATTTTCTTCTAGAAGTCTGACTTGGTCTCTAGAAAGAAGTAAGTGGGCAGAAGGACACGGAACCATGTCTAGATCTTCACTTTCTATGATGATTCTAGAAGTTCTTGAAAAATTGAAGTCCGAAGAGAACATTACATTTTCATTTTTGTTGTTTTTCATTATGGAAAATAATTTCTTTGATGAAAGCTGTATTGTTTCCTGTTCATTTTTAGGACACCCTCTGTGCCTTAGAAAAACTTCCTTTTCTTCTGAATGGAACAGTGACAGAAACGAGCTAGTCCCACTTGAAGATGGCATGTGACTTTCACTAAAGTGACTTACTTGATATTTACTTTCACTGGTACTTGCTCGTATTGTTTCATCTGCTGGTGAAACACTGCCTTCAAAGTTACCTTCATTCTCTTCAGATGCAAGTGATGAAGTGATTGTTCTTTCTGAAAAGTCATCAGCTCTGAAATATAAGAAGACAGTGTGTAAACGAGTTGTCACTTAGGACATATTTCATACAAGAACTCTCGTCCAGATTTAAGGAAACCCAATATAGTATATGAAAACACAGCTCAACACAGACAGCAACTGGAAAGTCATTATACATATTACAAAACAATTCATTACCTAGTTCCATTCATTTAATAAATCAATCCACTGACAAAGTGAAGCAAATTATTTTTATATCTAGGAGAATGAGGAGTTCTTCCTCAAAAAGCTGTCCAAAAGTCTATTTTGACAGTCAAATTTGCAGGTTAAGATTATATTCTTTCACAAGGAATACCAGTTTGTTTCTGTTCTTTGCACGAAAGTTTTGACAAGAATAAAAATATTCTTACAGAAATTTAGGAGGCACAACAGAAGAATGTCCCATACCATTAACGATAGCTTTCTATAAATAAGTCCAGATTATTTTAACAGCTGTTTGTTTTTGATCAAGAGAAAAGCCTATACTTTAGGGCAGTGCTTCTCAGCATAATTTGGGGCTGAAGTCATGATCATGGAAGTGGACTCTTCAACATTCTTTCTCTCTCAAACGATCAGGCTCAGTCTAACAATGCTCAGACCAACAGCCTCAGCACCACTTGAATTATTAGAAGTACAGACTCTCAGGCCCTGCCCTAGACCTACTGAATCAGACACACTGAGGCTGGGGCCCAGGAATCTGAGTTTTAACAAGCCCACCAGGTGATTCTGATGCACGTAAGCTTTGTTTTGTGGAAAGGCAGCCTAAAACCATAAACTGAAACTCATATAAATTCTGGTAATTTAGGTCAGATAATTCTGGTAGCTGTTTGTTCAGGGAACACAGACTATCTTGTACTTTACTGGAAGATTGACGCTACTTTTAAATAACGCTTTATCATAAACAAATTCATGAAGTAACTTATAGAATCATCACAATAATCATTTTTTCTAAAAGTTTACTTATACAGCAAAATCTCATTAATTTGGATTCTGCTAATTAGAATTTAGAGTATTTTAGACTAAACTGTTGATTACCTTTTTTCATGGATAACACAAAATTATTGAGTGTGAATATTTAAAATATGTTAAATGCCTTTCAAGTTCCATCAACTGTTAGTGTATTTATTAACATCTAATATACAGGCTGTATACACATCTTTATTACCTATGTGACAGGTTAATTTTATGCATCAACTTGACTGGCTGAGAAATGCCCAGATAACTGGTAAAACACTATTTCTAGGTACCTGTGAGGATGATCCAAGAAGAGATTAGCATTTGAGTCAGCAGAATGAGTAAAGAAGATATGCCCTCACCAGTGTGAGTGGGCATGATCCAATCCATTGTGGGCCTATTCAGCACAAAAAGGCAGAGAAACAGCAAATTCTCCCTCTTTTCTTGAGCTGGACGTCCATCTTCTCGTGCCCTCAGACATCAGAACTCCTGGTTCTTATGCCTTTGGACTCTGACACTGGTACCAGCACTGGAAACCCCACCCTCACCCAGGACTTCTGCCTTGGACTCAATTATACCACTTGCTTTCTTGGTTCTCCAGCTTGCAGAGGACAGATAATGGGACACCCTAGCCTCCATAACCAGGCGAGTCAATTCCTATCATTTCCTTTTCTTTCCTTTTTTTTCTTTCCTTTCTTTCTTTCTTTCCTTTTCTTTCTTTCCTTTCGTTTCTTCCTTTCTTTCCTCCTTTCTTTCCTTTTCTTTCTTTCCTTTTCTTTCTTTCCTTTTCTTTCTTTCTTTCTTTCTTTCTTTCTTTCTTTCTTTCTTTCTTTCTTTCTTTCTTTCTTTCTTTCTCTTTCTTTCTTTCTTTCTATCTATCTATCTATCTATCTTCCATTAGTTCTGTTTCTCTGGAGAACCCTGACTAATACCACCCTGGTTTAAGTGAATTTTATCTCTTGCTTGGATCACTCTCGATAGCCTGCCACCGGCTTAGACCCTTGATCCAATAAAGTCTACTCTCAAAACAGCTGGCAGAAAAATCCTTTAGAAACGTAAGACAAAATGTATCATTCTCCTGTGCAAAACTCTACAGTGATCCCCTATTGTTACTCAGAGTAAAAGCCACTGTCCTTAACATGACCTGCAAGGCCCAACCAGGACCTGGTCACGTGTTCTCTAACCTCATCCCTATTTGTCAGCCCCTTGCGCACCCTGCATCACCACACTGGCCTTCTCACTGTTCCTCAAACATGAGGCACACTCTCCCGGAGGACTTTTGCTCTAGTTGTTCCTCTGTCTGGAATACTCTTCCACCTATCTGTTTGGTTAACTCCCCCATCCCTTCAAGGCTTTGGTTAAATCCCACCATATATATTGCAACCTAGTTCTCCTCATCTACTTCTGGGATCCTGGTTCCTCTTATCCTAGTGTATCTTTTGTTTTACCATAAAACTTACCACCTTGTGACGTATGATTTATTTATCATATCATTGTTTATCAGATTCCCCTCTGACTAAAATGTAAGGAAGTATTGTCTATTTTGTTCATCAGTGTCTCTCAAGAGCCTCCAGCAATGCCTGGCATGTGGTAGGCCCTCAGGAATACCTGCCGAGTGACTATCTTCACCTCTAGTGTCTGCCTGCTAACCCTTGACACGCTGTCCCATTCGTACGACCCAACTCTTTCTTCAAGTTAAATGAGGGGGGAAATACAAACCACTCGTAAGTGTGGCTGACTTTAACGAAACGTTGGAGGCAGATGTAGAAGGAAGTTAATTATAGCAATACAGACAACTCCCACTTAACTATTAGGCATGTCTCTCCATTTTTAAAATGTCCTTTGGTCTCTTCCCCATCAGACGATCTCAAATGGCCTTTGAAAATGTAAAAAGAACTCCCCACACTCCTTGGGAAAGACTGACAATTCTATACCCATGGCAACAAGTAAGTACCAGAAGTTGTTGTAAATCAATTAAATCAATCAATGGCATATAGTCATAGTATAATCCTATAGTCACAGTAACAGAGAAACACCAAACCTCCTTTTCCTTTTAAACAATTTTATCTATCAATGATAACCTGCTTCAGGAAATAGGGTTCTGAAACCAACCAGTCAGTGACAGCCTTAATCTTTGAAAATCAGGTAATAGACGACAGACTTTCCCAGGAACACATTTCTAAGGCTGAAGTCAATCCCGAAAGCCCATGGATGTAAGATCAGCACCTTGCTTTGCTCACTGAGACTATGCCTGGCCAGCGTGGTTCTCCCTGACTGCAGATGCTGAGTGGTGGTCTCATCCTTTGACGTCCTTTATGACATTCAGTCCTGAGCCTCACACCATTTTGCCTCCTTCCCCCTTCTCTCTGCCCACCCCTCCACATTTCTCTTCTCTCCTATCTCATTAGCAAGACATAACCCACTCAGTCTCTGATGCAATGCAACCTTAACCATTTTTATGCTTGAGCTTCTACTAATATTCAAGCCCTTTTATATCAAAATTATAACAGGGTATAGAAAGTCCTCCATGATCTGACTCCTGCCTGTTCCTTCACATTCATCTCCCACTTCTCCCTGACCCATCCTTAGCATTCCAGCAACTCTGAAATAGTCACAGTGCCTCTGCTCATGTCCTGTAATGCCTGTCTCATCCTTCTAATTCACTGTCTTTTTCTGATTAATTTTCACTTATCCTTCAAAATTCAGCTCCAGTATAACTTTCTTCATGAAGCCATCCCCAACACCCCCATACTAGCTTCGGTATCTCCTAAATTCTCATCTTATCTCTATCACTGTTACCGTACTGCAAGCCATCATCCTTTATGTCTGTGTCTCCTCCACAAGAATTTAAGCTTCTTGAAAACAGAAACTGTCTTATTATTCGTATCCCAGTATCCAACACAATGTCCATTGTATAATGATATCTAATGATTGCTGAATGGATTTTGATGAAAACAATTAAAATACTGATAGCAACAAGAGTAGGGAGGTCAGTATTTAATCTGAAGCACTCACATGTCCTTAGGATGTTGATGAATTCTGACTGCATAAACTCCTTTCACATCACTCGTGCAGCACAAGCACCTAGCTCAGGGTTTGCTTGGTTCACAGCAGGTGCTAAATGAATATGTTTTCACTGAATTATCAGAACTGGTGATTATTCTTTGTATGTATTGGAGAGAGAGGACTGGACTAGGGAAGAAAGCCACCTAACCTCTCTTAGCTTTATTTTCCTCATTTATGAAAACAGCAATGATACTACCTACCTGGAAGGATAATTTCAATAATATATTAACAAACAGTAACACATTTTGGAACGAGCAACCACTTAAAATCAAAGTTAGATTGAATTATGATGTTGAACGCTATAGTCCTCTATACAGATGGAAAAGCCCTTTTCTGTACTTCAGATGTAAATGTAATTTTGAATAGAAAAAACCAACCTGTTTCATCTAAGTTCAAAATATATCACTTACTTTTCTTCTGAAGATGAATGCATCGACCAATTATCTAGAGATAAATGGGAATAAAAAAATGTCAGAGCACCAATGGGAGAAGCTCAGGCTGAACAAGTTTTATGTTAACATATGAAATTGTAGGACATTTACCAGGTTTCATGCTTTTCAGGCAGCTGTCTTCTTTCTATTTCAAAGGAGACAATAAAATGTTAGAGGAATAATACAAGTATCAAAGTTTCACAATTTTATTAGTTATTCTTACATATTATTTTGAAAAATGGGGGAAAAGGAAATCTACCATTTGTTCTTACCTCCTGGGCATCTGAATGGTCTTTTTCTGGAAGTGCAGGCTTCTTTTGAAAGGATGTACAAATCTTTATGAGCACGATCTCAAAAATAATTACGAGGAAAATTATAAAGAAGATTGCCATCCAGTCATTTTGAGAAGTCCAGGTCTCTAGAAGTTCCCATAATGTCAAAAGTATATCGTCTTCCAATTCACCCTGTACCACTTTTTTAAAGAAATAAAATTGCTTTGACATTTTTATGTAACATGCAACATAGATTGATATCTCATTCCGAAGTCCTTGATTGTGAATGCCCCAAAACACAAAAAGGTGATATGCCCATCTCATCAACACTCTGCCAGAAAAAAATTTCCATTGCTGCTCAGTGTCTTACCAAGTACATCAGTGATTGCTCTGGGCCTAAGTAAAGTGAGGTACGTGTCATAGTGGGTATTAACTGAGCTCATATCAACCTACTTTAGTAATAATGAAAGTTCATTGGTGAGGCATGTATGATGCTATCAGTATTTTTTTTTTGATTTTTAAAAATACTCCTCTATTAATTTCACACAGAAACACAATTCTATAAACAATCCCTTAGCACAGTTCAATTATCACTATCCTGTCATTCAAAAAATGTGGAACAATTTTGAACTGGACATAACCATTTTCTATTACCACCAGAAACAGTGTATTTTATGCTTCTTTGTGATCAGAAAGAGATAAATGCAGGATTGCCAGATATAGGGCGGGGGGGTGGGGATCACAAAAACTAGATGCCCTAGTTTAATTTGAATTTCAGGTAAGTACCAAATAAGTTTTTACTGTGTCTCATTGTGACTTTGCAGGACATGACAGCTTGTTTTTGTGGGCCTGCCTCATTTTTTTCTTAAAATAGAACACCTTGTTTTATATTTCTTTTCGTTAGAGGGATCTGTCAGCAATATTCCTCTTCAACAATCTACTGTTATGCTGAAAAACAAAGTTAGATTTTGGAGTGGTCTCTTGATGAATTTCCTCTTCACCCTGTTTCTGGTGATTCCAAGGAGCAGTTATTTGCGACACTTGATGTCAGACTTAGGGAGGGGCTGAGCCAGATCTGAGTACTGCTCACTTCCCCTCAAAGTCTAGGCAGTAGTTTAGTCACAAGTATACAAAAATACCTGGACTATTAATGAAAATATTAACACTACCATGGATTTCCTTTGAAGACGTAATTAATGTTTCCTTTGTTTTCACTTATTCAAGGTGGGTTGAGGAAAGAAGTATAATTCTTCACACCAGAGTACACTGTTCTGGCTCTTCTGTCACATAAGTTTAACTGGGTGCAAGAAAGATTTATTGAGCTTGTACTATCTCCAGTATTGGAGATAATGAGATCAATGACACATCCTAAGAGTTTATAGTCTTCCAGTCTACTAGACCATAGCCTACAGGTATTTGTGATCTTAACTGAAGTTTAACTATGATCATAGTGTTTGTCTTTGCAAAGTGTACCTCTCCAGAATGCATGGTAGGCATTCCTTTTAGTTCTAGGAGTAACTTCAGCAATTCCTCTGGATTTTTCTAGGGAAAAGTACACCCTCCTCTCTGACTCCACATCCACATACAAAATCAGGGTGATTTTATTCTGCTGGGTTTTTCTATAATATTTAATGCAGCTGGCAGAATACTCAATTTCCCTTGCCTGATGGCAGACATTCTCTAATTCATTTAATATTAACTACCTTAAAGAGGATTCAGTGTTTTAACGTTAACTAAGGAACTCTCTGAATCCCTAATTCATAGACTATGAATGGCTCTTATAAGAACTGAAAAGTACCTTCTGTGACTACTGCTGATGCTTAAGTTTGCACAGAGATAGAGTACCCGCCTCCAGGGCTTTGTCATGTTTGCTGCTTAAGTACTTGCCTAGTAATAAAAGTACAATTACCTATTTTTCAGCATAGGCACTTCTGTCCCTTGCCCTAGAAATCTCTTCTTGTATCAATCTCAAGTGAGCAGCATAAAAAGTAAATGCTAGATTTATTTTTAAGTCAAAAAGACAATAAAAAGTGAGCAGCAGAGAAATCCCACTACTAACATATTTAGTGTAATATAGACATTAAAAGAAAACACTTAGAAAAAAATTCTATTAAAGTTTTAAAAAATTCTGTCATATCTACCAATGTCACATTCTTTGAACTATTTGGACATTGGGAACTAGGTTTTTGTGCTTTATGTCTAAGGAGAAAGTCCCAATAATAGGTGTATAAAATAGCAATATAAAGCCAGGGGTTGCTGGTAATGGTTAGAAATTCTCCTTCTGTAAGTATCTTAATTCAAGTGTTTATTGAATAATGAACACGTAAGATGCTAAGCAAGTAACACAAGCATTTTATGGATACAAAGATGAATAAAAAACCATTCCCTGACTTGAAGGAGCATGTAATAGAAGTGGTACGAAGCAAATATGTCAATCTACAGAGAAGGCAGTGTGTTAGCAACAAAGGGAGAAGGAAGGTGTTATGTGGCTTTGAAGGAGAGACACGTGGCTGGGGTAATCCAAGAAAAGCTGTGAAGTGGGAAAGAGAATTTGAGGACCTTAAAGGATGAGTAATACTTGGTAGCAGACAAAAACTAATAAAAAAAAAATTCAGGGAGAGAACTTTGTGTAGTCCAGGTTAGCTAGAGTACTGTGAAGAGGCTGAACATGGGGGAAATGGTTTAAATGTTGATACAGCCTAATGTGGAGAGCCTTGAACTGAAGTCTTTAGCCTTAAGAGTCGCCTTTGGAGACCCACCGATAGTTTTGTGTCAATGTATTGAGCAAGGAGACAATGAAATAGTAAAATGAATTAGGCTACTGCAGCCATACAGATGAGCACTGACGACAGTCTGGCTTAGAGTGGTGGTCATGTGAACAAAAAGGGGCACAATCAGTAGTACTTTTGAGACCGAGAACCCAGGATCTGGCAAAAGAAAGCAAATGGATTCAGAAGGGGTACAGAAAAGCTAATGCTGGAGGAGAAAGGATTTAAAGATAATCCCAGAGCTGGTTTGTCCAGGACAAGGTTTCTCCACCTGAGCACTACTGACATTGTAGACCAGACCATAGCAGGATGGTAGCAGCCCCTCTCTCCCACCTCCGAGACGCCAGTAGCACCCCCACCCCAAGCCAAAAGTTTCCAGATGTTGCCAAATATCCCCTGGAAGTCAAAATCACCCCTACTGAGAGCCACTGGTCTAAGTGAATGGTTGAGCCATTAATCGGGGCCTCCAGAGGCCAGCACCTGGATGGATCTTTGGCCGTACCTCAGACTTGGCATTGCACATTTCCCCTTGCAAGACGTGTCAATTCTGTGCAGAAGAGATGGGCCCTTTTCACAAGTGTCTATTTTGACCTTAGACATAGCACTCATACCTTATTTTCGGAATTAAATGTTCCCCACTCATGGCTAAGTATACAGTTCTCAAATAAGCTATTTCATCAATCAGGAACAGTTTCTTGATAACTGAGGGGAAAAAAATCAACTTTAAATGACCTTCCATTTATCCCTATACTTGTAGTAGTATCTTTGGTCATCCACATTACAAACAGCTTAATTTGCAAACTTGAATATTATAGCTATATAGCCTGGTTACTAAGCTTTCAGATCTATTTCTTCACTGTACTTGTACATTATAGTCTGCTTTATAGTAAGTCTTCCCCTGTATTTTCCTTTTTCCCATTGGTTTCACTTCTGGTTTACAATATTAATATTTCTCAACTGATTTACACTTAATAGATCAGGACTCTTATTTGTCAGTTCTGGATTTTTGTTTTTAATATTTTGATCAGTCTTGTTTTAAAATTTCAAATGGTAAGTATTGATTAATTATATACTATTTTTTAAAATTTAGGCCTTGTTCAAGAAATGTAGTCAAAAAGTAGTATACACTGCGTGATATGGAAGTTTTGATTATGTAGTTGTACATGATTTCATTCTGTAAAATACATGGTTTAGATTTGCTACCTAGGTTTTTGTTCTTTATGCATTACTTAGAAATATTAACAAAAACACCGTGGCTTCACCAGGGCAGGAGGAACGAGGGACCTCAAAAATCTGTCAGCCTCCCAGGCCACCTTGACTGTCTGAAGGGCCTAACATTAGGGCAGTAGAGGAGCCAGGAAAAGGAGTATAGAATTTCTATACTTTCTTAGTATAGAAATCCTCTGCTCCTACAAACTTAGAAATACAGCATCAGCCTCATCTCATTTTTGTGTCCTTAACAGGGAATACAGAAACATAGTTTAATATATAACTCATTACCATCTAGTCCCGTACAAGTGACATCTGAACTTCTCAAGGCAAAATTAAGTGCCCTCGCTCTGCCAAGATACAGCATAGATGTTAGTCCCACCACTTAGTCCTTATTTTTCATTCTCTCCTTAATCGGAGGTAATTAATCAACTTCCCCCACATTATGAAACTCCAATTATTTTCTAGTGAGGCTTTTGCTGTAACAGGCCTTCAGTAAATATTTCTTGAATGAAAGTTACTTCATTCTAAAAACAATGTTCAGGGTTCCCATTATATGAAAATGTTATCCTATCCCTTAGTTGAGATTTATTAAAAGATTAGGTGAGTAGATGTGTACATTCTATAAAACTGACTTAACTTACTATATAGTAAGTGCTGTTTTCCTTTTTTAAAGATGACACTGCTCTGAAAAATTAAGAGTACTTTCTCAGGTGCACAGGAGTAAGACAAAAGTTCTGTTGTAACAAAATTCAAAGTTTAATTTTTCAAACATTAACTATATTAATGAAAATAAATTATATTTAGACCACCTTCAATATTTGTACATCATCTCTATACAACTATAACAGTGCTTTCAAAAGACACTTTGTAAAGGACATTACTTTCACAATTAAAATATGTTTTAAAAACGGGAACATTAAAGAACATTAGTCTGAAATATATCTCATAATGCTGAGAGATATCTATTCTTGAACAAATTAACTATATGTATTAAAAATAACATGGTTTTTAACTAAAGACAATTATTTCTTGTCCCTTTCAGTGATTTCCTGGATCCAAAACAAAATCTGTGTATTTATTTCTCTGAAAACATCATTTGTTGACCGTCCTTTCACTGCCATGGAATGATTTGCCTTCTCAATCCAGTGGATTTTATTAGGAGCTTGCATTTTCTGTGCCACTTTCTCCAACAAGTTCTAAAGGAAAAAAAGAAGAGGATACTAGACTAAGGCTCTATTGGTGTTTAATAAAGATCTCTCTCCCACCCGCCTATACTGGTATCCAAGCACTAAATACCTATGCTACAGATAATTTTTGAGGCAATGGAATATGCAAGGAAATGTCCACAGAAGTGACAGTCCACATCTCTCAGATACAATAATGCCACAGAATAGATCAAGCATTCATTATTTATAATAAAGTTATTAATTGGAGCAAAAAAATTCTTCTAAAAATATTCCCCCCCCAAAATTATATGATTGAGAAATACACTAATATTTAATAATATGTACAAGTTATTTTTCTCAAGTCAATTTAATAACAAATTGAAGAATCTGCTTAGATGTTGAAAAGATAAACCAAATGTACAGTCTACTAATCCCAAATTCACAAGATTCAGGTATTAATCCTTCGTTTTCTAAATAAGAGTTAATCCATTTACCGACTCCATAAGGAGATGAATTTTGTCAGTATGCTTACATTTTCAGGTTCTCCAAAGCAACAGTGTAAAGCACAAAACTAGCATTAGTAAAATCAGCATCTTTTTAAAGAGACTAAACACTGAAGGTAATATCTGGGTCCTGAGATGTTCCTCTCTTTCTTTCTTTTTCTCTCATTCACAGAAACACCAAGTTATAATTCACCTTTTCACACATTTCATCTGCTGAGCCTGACACAAACAGTACAGGATCTTTTATACGAAAGAGATCTTCATCTCTAAGTTTATGCTGCTGCTTTGGGTGGTGCAGTGGATAGGAAATACAAATGAGACCTCGAACAAAATCATCAGCATCATCTGGCTCAATATGACACATCACAGAAGCAGCTGCTCTTGACCCCATTGAACGACCTAAAATCAATTAAAATTAAATTCAGTTTGAAATATAAACATTCACATAAAGTAGTGGTGATTATGATGTGGCAAATCAGATTTCATTTACTATTTCATAACATGTTGCATATCAACAAATACTTAACTACAAAAGGTGGCAATTAACAAGCTGCAATACCCATAATGGACACCAACAGCCATGTGAAGAGGTAAAACCTGATCCTAAGCCAAATTTTTAAAAATTACTTTTCTGAAAAATACTTCAACAGGTGAAGACAATCCTTGTGAAGGAATCATTTGAAAGAAGGTGATTCAGGGATATAAATAAATGGAAACATCTTTGGGTTACAGTATATATGAGATTTAAATTTACTTTAAATATTAAAGCGCCTTGATGTTATACATGGGAGTGACTTACCAAAACAAAAAATCCTTAAGTCATTTCCTGTCATTAATTTTGAAACAAGTTTTCACAAGTGTTGCAACTTACCTCCAAGGAAAACACCTGCAAGTCTGTATTCTCCTGAGGTCTTTAGGTAATTCTAGAAAAATTGACCAAAAAATTATCAATTCTCTTACAAAATGTTCCACTGGAAAACCAATACATTATTTGTCATCATTACTGAAATGAAAATCTTTGCAAAGCCAACCATGAAATCTTAAGGAATTCTTTAAAGAGGTAACCAATTCTGTGCTCTCCTGGTCATATCTTCACTATCAAATCATGTATTAGGTAATACAGGCAAATACATACCAAAAAAACACAGCCTAAAAAAATTCAAGTACTAAAATATTTTAAAAATATTTTTAAAATTATGGGGAAAAAGCCAGTAAAAGCTTCCAACTAATATAAAAGTTAATAATACTACTGACATCTAACTTAAGGCTCTGAAAAACTTAGCAAGCTTAAAACAATTTGGATTAAAAGATATATCAGACTTGTTTTATCCGGAGATTTTACACTTTCTAAATAACATACAAAAAAGCCATGCTATTTGTACATTCATTGTATAGGAGCAAAATAATCCAGAACTATATCCTAAAGTTGTATAATTTCAGTAAGAAAATTACATCATAAATAGATTCCTTGGCAGTATCATGGAGGAACATTTATGATGTGAGAGCCTATCTCCATAGAAACTAACCGATGGCAAAAAAGAGAAATCTGACCACTACACAGCCTTCATACACTGGTGAGTTTCTAAGAAAACTCATTAAAAGATTTTTAAATTAAACCAAGTGACTGCTAATAAAATATGTCTTATATTTATTAAGAATTTTAAAAACAGAATTCTTTCATAAGTAAATATAAAGAAATTTTCTTACCAAAACTGATTTATATGCCTTAATTCTATGTACAATATTAAGGCCTTTACAGGTAAATCTCAGGCAAAAAAACCCATGAGATGCAAGATGGGATGCCAGTGACATCAAATGAGGAAGATTCATATCTCCTGATGCTCCATGTGTAAGAATTATTCCATATGTTAAGCTCTTGTTAGGTACCAAACAAACAGCATCTAGTAATCTATTTCCAAAAGGTATTTTTAGTTTAACCTGAAATTCAAGAGAATAAAGGGATAAAAAATTACTTCCTTGCTTATTCAGACATATGAATATATTTGTTCTGAGAGACCCATGATTCAAGTCATAGCCTCCGAATAAAAAGCAATGATATTAACAGTAGCTAATATTTAAGAAGTACTTATTGTGTGTCAGGTACTATTATAACTGCTTTATATGTATTAATTAATTTAACCTTCCTATTACACCTGCAAGTACTGTTATTATCTCCACTTTATAAATGAGAACACTGAAAAGCACAGTATGTTACATAATGTGCCCAAGGTTATATATCCACTAGCTAGGATCTATACTCAGACAGTCTACTCCAAAGTCCTTACTCTTAACCACTAATGCTATACTGTCTCTCACAGTACAAGTTGAAAACAAATTACTATGGAGCCATATGACTTCAAAAAAAAAAAAAAAAAGAAGGAACCCTGAAGATGCGGAACAGATGAAAATATGTATTACCTCCGTATGACTCATTTTCACTGTTGAATAACAAACTTAAAGTGCATTACATCTGAGAAGCAAAGGACATCTCCCTGAAAAGAAGATTCTGTTGTGAAAGGTGGGTAGGCAGACATAGATATTTTAAAAGAACTATGAATGAACACATTCAGTAGCTAAAGCAAACACATTTAGAACTAATCCTCTAAGAACTGGTGTCTTTACATGTCCATTACTTAATTATTTTCATTCCTATGGTCATTCAGAATTGGTTATAGGGCCAGATGTGGGGCTGGCAGATGTTATTTAAGGGAAAGCCAATGTGATACTTTAACGTGGATGCCTTAAGAAAATTAGTGTCAAAGTAGAATGCTGTATCTTGACATATATTTTATTTCCTAAGCATTTTTATTCTCAAACAACTACCTTCAACTTAAATTTCACAGCCTCTTTCTATTAACCCATGTCCTTTGTCATGCCCAACTCTTCCTCCCACCTTACAATGGAAGTTTACATCCACACCCTTTGTCACGTGACTTTGCAGAACATTCCACAGCAGGCAGTGTACATCTCCACCCTATTGCCTTTGGGCTTGGCTACGTGACTTGCTTTAACCAAAAGAATTTAAGTTTCAATGTGCCACTTCTGAGCTGAGGCCTGGCAAATTTCCAGAAGCACTTTTGAACTCTCGCCCTCAGCCATGAAAAAGACAGGCTCCAGGTATTTTTGCTTTTTCAGGCTGGGTCCCTGAATGGAACACATGGAACAGATCTGAACCCAACACTAAAGTCTGGAGTCCAGCCTAGTCCAGCCAACATCTAAACCACTGAAGAATTATGAAATGTTGACCTAAAGAACCAAGAGGATGACATGTTGTGAGCCACTGAGACTTCAGGGTTGTTATGCAGCATTTCTTTCTACTCTAAGAGATCTTTTACTGTTCAGCAGCATATTATCAACATCAAGATCTCCATTATTCATCTCTTTTCCCATTAACATTTACTAATTCACTCACTGAACAGATAACAGATACCAACAATAACAGTAGAAAAGTCTCTCCCTCATTCCACTTAAGCCTTACCACCCAGATCCCCTCTCCAAAGTCAACCAATATTACCCAATTCTGCCTCTCTCAGATAATTTATTTACATATATATACACACCTTTCTCTTTTTATAAACTGGTGATGTATTTTTCTGAACCTTATCTGCCCCCACATCCAATATATATTTTGGTAATTACTCTTTTCTTTATACAATGAGCTTCTTTCATTGTTTTTTATGGCTGCAGAATATGCCAAGGAAGGGTTGTACATAACTTATTTCACCAACCATCTATTAATGAACATAGAGATTTCCAATCTTTTGCTAAAACAATATTGCAATGAGTGGCACTATACTTAGTATTACTTTCACATGTGTGTAGACGTATCGCTAAGATAAATTCCTGGGGAAGGAACTGATTTGTCAAGGGAAGGAATTGATGTATCAAGGGTGTATTCATTTGCAATTATTTTTTGTGGAATACATTTCATTTTTGAATAGGTAATATATGCACATGGTAAATTTTAAAAGAAAAAAAGTGTATAGTTAAATCTTACATTCTTTTCCCCAGCCACAAAGTTCCTTTCCCTTCCCAGAAGCAACCACTATGACCAACTTACTGTGTATATCTTTCCTTTAAGTATATGTGTATGTAGAACTCTCTTTCTTTGAGCCTGTAGGGTATTAGACTGGCTGCAAAAGTTCTGGGGTTTGAGTTAGAGGAGCATGATGGACTTCAGACTTCCATTGTCCCTGTTTACCTAAATGTAGCCCCGTAATTAACTGTGCCTGGGGGTCCCCTGCTTCAAAAATCCTGTTTTATGTTCTCGAGAGAATAGCCTCCAGTCTTCTAATGGGAAAGAAGCAGTAACACAAAAGTGTGAAATGGCGAATGAGATCTAGATACCTAATTACTTCTCAAACAGATTTCACCTAAAAGTAGTCTTTTGAGTCCTCTACATCCATCCTTAACACCATTAATTTCATCACCAGTTCCCAAAGTGTCTGGTGCTCCTGGTTTCTGCATTCTTAAGATTCTGTGGTTTATATAGCATTGTTCCACAGTATTCCCTGCTGCTGGTTTAAAATTAAGCTTTCTGGGGCCCCATATTTTAGTGCTATTGTTTCCTTTCCAATTTCCCCATCTTTGTGGGTCTGTGTCTTTTTACAAACCCCGATTGTAATTTTAGTGAGGTTTCAGAAGGGAAAAAATTAGATACATGTATTCAATCCACTATCTTACTCTACTGTTTCTCAGCAACTTGTGATTTTTTTTTCCCCAGGAAAACTCTACTCCCTTCCAGATTTCACGATGAACAGTCTGTCCTTCACAATCGGTGAAAACGTTCTGGACTACTTGGTAACAGTGAAACAGTCCCAGGGTATAATCCCACCGCAGCCTGATCTGGACAGTCTAGGTCATAATCTTTGGATTCAGAAAGGGCACGGCTGGAAGCGCGGCTCAGCCTCAATGTGTTCAACGGCGAAGGCAGCAAACGCCACCAACCTCAGAGAGGCTGAGATGATGAATCAATACTCTGGATCGTAGGGAGTTGTGTGCCCACACCGCGAGCGTTTACAAGACTGCTGTATGTGCCTACTGCTCATACTCAGGATGCAACAGCGATCATAACTGATGCTGAAGGCTCAGGTGCCGCCACCGCCACCTCCAACTGGAAAAACGCTTGTACGTTATCCGCCACGTCTGGGCAGAACGTTGGAAATCGCGGCGCAAAGGCAAACGGTTAAGAGTTCAAGTCTCTCGGGGGTCGGTAATCTGGCCGAGCCAACAAACGCCCAGGGGGACAAGAGTAGGAACTGGAGGCGTTTCCCGGAGTTTGGGACCCAAAGACACCTGAGGGTCGTCCTATTCGGCCCGCCCCGGGCTGTGCGGTGGCCGTCGCCAGGGCCCGGGAGACCCTCAGAGCTCGGAGGCTGCTCCGAACTGGCCGCCGCTGCCGGGCTCGCGGGACCCAGGCCGGCCCCGCTCCTTCTCCTCC